AGGGAGGGAGGGAGGGAGGGAGGGAGGGAGGGAGAGAGGGAGGGAGGGAGGAAGGGAGGAAAGAAGACCGAAAATTCTATCTGGCTGGTGAGTCAGCAGAAACCCACAGACACACACTATCCATTTTTAGTTAAGGCATAATGCAGCTCATTAGGACACTGAACAATCAGATGATAAGAGTGGATGTGAATTCATATGTCTTCCTTCTTCCTCATAAGATGTACCTTGGTTTGATGAGGGCGTGAGTCACATAAACCACATGGAAAAAAAACAAAACACTGAGCTTCCTCATTCTTGTGGTGTAAATCCAGGAAAGCTATATCCACCATTTCTAATCCAATTTCCACTCCCAAGGAATAGTGAAAGTACTCAGTGACTATCACAGGACTCAGACCCAACATCTGGGTTTCCAGGCATCTGTGTTAGGTTTTTCAACTAAACATAGAAGCTATAAACAACAAAGTGGGATTTCCATGTGGCAGGCTGGGCTGCATCATGTCCTACCCCAGCATGCCCGTGCTACCTCTTCCAACGTGGAAGGAGAATCACCCCACCCTCAGGACGATTTCCCCATGTACATTTTATGCTCTTGAAAATCTAACTGAAAATAAAACGACAGAATGAAGTCATGTACCTGATATCAAATACCTAATGAGAAACGGCCTCAAATAAAAATGGTAGAGAAACAAAATGTGAGCACAGTCACTGGAAAGATGGTCAACATGGAACACAGGCAAGTCTGGGCCAACCTCATCACAACTGGACTCTCTGAGGTAGAGAGTCCAACATATAGTACAGGGAGGAAAAAGTATTTATCAATCATGAAAACATTCCTGAAATAAGAAAAAAAAATTGAACATTATAAACAAATAAGAAAATTCTAGGAAGACAGGTGTAAAATAATTGAGATAGATAGCTATCCCCTTGTTAAGCTATAAGGTATATAAAAAAAATAATTCCTTACAGCTTTAGGGAGAAAGATCAAATTGCCTACAAGATGAGGAAATCAGGTTGGCTCAGACTCTACCACAGTGACTTTCAAAGAGGGAAGACTGTGGGGCCATGTTTACAAGGTTTTGATGTAAACAAGTTATGACGCCAGAATACCATATCCAATCAAGGTCTTGTGGAGGTATAAAGGCAACAAGAAGATACTCTCAGTAAAGGGACAACACATGGACATTGGTGCTAAAAAAAATTAATGTGACATTGAATCACAGATGAGTTAACTTAAGAATTCAGAATGCAGCACTTAAGTGGTCAACTAAGACTCAACAACTGGGGAAATTTCAACTACAGAACTGATTATATATGCTTCACTGTTTCACCCAAGTTAAAAAAAAAATACATGCATATAATCACCAAAAACTGGGAAGTGAAAAGAAAAGAGGAAAAGATAAAAATCGCCTTCATTCTTCGTACTAATTATTTTTTATTGATTTTTTAAAAAAATAAATGACAGCAGAATCCATTACAATTCTTATTACACAGATACAGCACAATATTTCATATCTGAATAATCATTTTAATCCTGTCTAAAATGGAAATGTGCAGGTTTCAAATGACTTCATCTCCTTTACAACTATCTTTTTAGTTTTACAGGTTTAACTTGACTTCTTTTTGTTCTTTGAAAGTTAAGTAGACTTAATACTTTAATTTCAAAGTAGAGAGTATGAATTCTTAGAGCCTCTCTCTGACTCTCCTTGCCTCTCTTACTCACTATTTTTCCTTTCTTGCTGTCTCTCCATGCATCCATTCTTCTCTTTGCCTTGTGCCTGTTCATACAGAGCCAGAATAATAGCCGCCCATGCTAACTTTGGTCACTTCTAAACAGTAGCATTTGAGATAATGGATTAGTTGCTATATTTCTGGCTTTTTGTGAATGACTGTCTTATTAAAAAAAAAAAAGAAATGAGGAAACCATTGAAGGAAAAAAATTATCTCTTTTCTAATATTTCTAAGTAAAGCAGTCTACTGGCCAAAAGAAGTCTTTTGGTATTGTAAAAAAAAAAAATCGAAATAAATCCATATTCCCCTGAAATAAGCACTTGCTGGTAATGGGAAAATCATTTTCAGTTAAGCATGAGCAATATTGCCTTTAATGAGCAATAACTTGTCAAAGCCCATGTGAGGCCCTCCTGATTAGTATTTGTTTGTGGTTTCAGATTTCTGGGAAAGGAATTTCAGCCATGCTGATGATTTTCTCCCTCTTGGAGTTCTGCATAACTTGTGCCACAGCCCATTTTGCCAAGCAAATGGTCACCAACACCAGTGGGGTGAGTTGGGTCTCTTCTTTGTAAAATAGCCCGTAGATGTGCTGGAGAGACACAGATTTACTTACAAGGGCACTTTTTGTCCCTGAGTTGGACGGGGCTGGAGAAGGCTGAATAGGCTGTACTAACCGCACTGCTTGGTTTATACTCATTCTTTCTAGTCTGTCCTGGTCATTCCAGCTGTGTATGCAAACAACCCGTGACACAAGAGTCTTCCTCAGCTCCTCCGAGAAATGATGGGTACCCGGTTTATGCCCCTAAATATTAAAGAAAATGGGGGCACTGGGCCAATATCATGGGGGTAAAACTACTCTGCAAAAACTGCTTGTGAAGCTGGTCTTTACTGTCTACGATGATTGTGAATCTTCAGAGACTGCATTTGAGATTTGTGCATCACTAATGACAACCATATCTCCCCGTCACTGTCTTGTACTTACCAGTACCCCACACTGGCAAGGGTGAAGGACCAGAGAACTGAAAAAAACAACCCTTCAACTCTGAAAGCCATATATTTTCCTGTTGATGTTACCTTTTCTGCAATAAAATGCTATTATGAACATAATCCCTTGTTTGTTTGTTTTTAATTGTCTGATCTCGTACTGGTTGTATAGTCACTCTGACAAAACCCTGCAAGGCAGACTGGCAGAGCTTTTCTGATGATGCTCTGCAGCGTGTCCAAGTCACTGGAGATTCTTCACTCCTCCCTGCCTCCCCTTTCTGTTCAGAACGGACCAACAGCCGGGCAAGGCTGACGCATGGGGTTGGTGCTGTTGTTTCTATTTTGGCCTTTTGGTTCTGAAGTAGAAGAAACATTCACACGTTTAAAAGCCAGTGGGAGCCAGGCACAGTGGCGCACACCTGTGATCCCAGCAGCTAGCTCAGGAGGCTGAGGCAGGAGGATATAGAGTTCAAAGCCAGCCTCAGCAACTTAGCAAGGCACTTGAGAACTCAGTGAGACCCTGTGTCTAAATAAAAATAAAAAAGGGCTGGGGATGTGGCTCAGTGGTTAAGCACCCCTGGGTTCAACCCCTGGGTCGTGAACAATTAAGGTAAGAGAGAAGGGATAAATGACTGTTTTAAGTCATCAAAATCACAGGTGGAGTCCACCATGCGACCAGCGCACTGGTTTCATTAATGAGGTTCTTGGCATAAAAGTTAACTAGTGAGATCGAAATAAAACACACAGACTCAGTTACCTATGACCAGGTCCGAGACGGCTCCCCCTCTGGCTCCCACCTCGAACCACCCGGTAGGGCAGCAGGGATTACTCAGGGCTAGCAGGAGAGAGAGAGAGGGAGCATGCCAGGGGGGTGGCCTTTTATTGGGGAACAAGAAATTCAGGGGAGAATTCCATCCAATGAAGGTTGAGGGGGGCCGCACTCCAAAGTCAGGGTCAGTGATTGGCCCCAGGGTCAGTGGTCAGTCACACCCCCACACGGACAGGCTCTCGCATCAGGAGAGGGCCGGGACAGCTCCGACACAGTTTAGCCACAGCGGCTCACACCCAAACCCGGAGTTGCCCAGTCACGTGTGATAATGGCTCCCCACAGTGGAGGACATGACCTAAGCTGTAGAAGGAGGAAGGGAAGATGTGATGGTTGCAGAAAGCCACAGGTCTGCATGAGGGTAGTGAGTACCTGAGGAGCTTCCAATATCATGGCTCTTGTCATCTCTGTCAAAGTAGAAGTGAGCTCATGTCCAAGTGGAGAGCACGAATAGAATCAGAATATCCAACAAAATGGGTAATGACAAAAAGTCATGGAAGTGAACACTAAAATGGCAAGAGAAACAGGAGGATTGCCGGGCTGTGCTGAGGGCATGTTTGAGGGGATGACCACAAACTTAGAGTTCAAACAAACTGCCTCCCAGAGCTTGGGTGCCCAGACACAGATCCAGAAAAAGCACCTACCTCGAATTAGGATTTTTCTAGAGAGGATAATAAAATAGCAGAGAGACAAGAAAACCAAAGACATCATTTAAAATATCATTAAAATAATTCCATGTGAAATCTAAACTTCATAAAAGTGAGAAAAATGGAAAAGAACAGATGAACTGATTTTTTTAAAAAAATGAGATATCTGCCTTTATCCTGTAGAGTTGTTATGAAGGACAAATTAGGCATCAGGAGAAAATGGTTTGACAACAGCCAAGTATTATCCATTTTTGAAATTCTAAAATTATTCAAGAAGTCAGATGAGGAAAAAATATACAATGAAGGAACAGGCCGAGAAATAAGAATCATTGGAGAAGCAGAAGAAAACAGACTTTTTGCATCTGAGAAAGCAGATATGTTATGTCAGGGGAGAGTCACACCATTTTGAGGTTCTAGCCCTGCCTGGGTCACCAGCAGCTCAGCAAAAGGGAAGGCATGTATTGTGGTCTTAGGGTCTAGAAACTAAACAGTTGCCCTCCCAAATGTCTGGGGGCATGGTATGTTGTATATCCAAGCACGTAAAGCAAACAACTATAAAAGGGACATTTCCTTTAGGGACTATGGTTATTCACAGCAAAGTTATTTTTAAGATAAATTTCTAACAGATATATCCTATTTTTCAATTTGTTTAAGTAATATAGTCAACTATTTAGCTCGCTCTAGGTGCCAGTCACATTCCAAACTCTTACCTACATTAACAGATTTAATACAGCAACCCTGTGTGGTAGGTGCTATTATTAGCTTCATTTTCAGATGAGGGAATTTTAACAGGTTAAAAAACTTGACAGGAAGCTGTCAAAGAATACAGCAAGGATTTGAACCCCCAAAGTCTGATGACTAAGTCCAGGCATTTCCTCTTGTCTCAGATATCATCAGAGATTTTTCAGCTTCCAAACAAAGACAAACAAAAACATATTTACCTATAGTAAACTTTCAGTCTGTTTGGAAAGAACTGCCTCACTCCATGATGGGTGGTAAAAGGGTTAGTAATATAACAATAACTGCTTTCAACACTTGCTTCCTGAAGGTTACCATTACCTCTGAATCACTCCTGGGAATCCCCTAACTGCACTTCCAGAGTGTCAAGTACTTCCTGCCAAGGACCCCCGGCAACTTCTCCTGTGACTAGAGAGTCAAAAGATGCTGAGTTGGGCTCAAGCATCCAAAATTTTTATTTGAGGCTCTTTGGAATGCAAAACTAAAATCACCTACTTTAGCAGTTTAAACAACACTATAAGCATAACATTTTTAAATAGTGGACTCATGTTAAGCAATGGAATCAACTAGATTTTTATCCATATAAGAACAATATTCATGCATTATTCTGTAAATATTTGTTGTCTACTCTGGACAGGGCAGTATTCTATGTTCTTGAGAAAAACAGATAAAGATTCTATTTCCTGGAAGCTTATATTATTTAAGTGTTAGACCTCCTATTAAAACATAAAATCCAATGTTTGACTTCAAAGTTTAAAACCTGTAAGTTTCCTGAAAATGTACCTATGATCTGACACCTGAGAAGGTGACTGAAATAGAAACACTAGCTCAACATAGAGATCATGTGCCCACTATTGTTTGCGTTCCGACACATTTTTAAAAAGTGTTTATCTATTCATTAATTTCTCCAAAAAGTACAGTATACTACTCTTTGGTGACCAAACATTATTAGACTATTACATAAAATTTAGACTTTGAATATTTTCTGTTTGGAGTAATATAAGACAGAATGGAGTAAATGTTAATGTACTTTTTTCTCCACACACAAGTAACTAAAGCTGGATTTGCATACAAAATCTTCACCCCAAAATTATGGCTTAACCTACATACACATGTACTCACATACATTCAGAATTCAAGTATCCTGTATTTAGTCTCTTCCTGCCTCAGAAAAGTATGGATTATTATCAGAATTCTAGGGTGTCTTCCAATTCTAAATTTTAAGACTTTAGTGAAGGTGAGTGATTCAGTATAGAGTGCATGAGTTCAAGAGATATCTTTCTGGAAATCATAAATATATCTCAGATACACGCATATCTTTGATTCATTTTTGGCCAGTACAACATTTATGAACACTCTCTTTCCAAAAGTATGTTTTGCGTTTGTCACACTCCTCTAATAATCAATTATTCACAACTTTTCACTTTTCCCAAAGAGCGGATGCTGACCAAACTTACCTTGAGTTTGGATGGTAGGGAGTGGGGTACAGGGTCTTAGACATCTATTTGCAGGGGTTATTTACATCAGGGGAAAGATCCTGCAGAAATTTTGAGTTCAGGTATATGGAGCTCAAGCTGAAAGATCAAAAATGAAGACCAGTTTCTAGTCTGGCCTCAATGACCAGGTCAGATCCCTGTGGAGAAAGGGGAATACATTTGTGCATAGACTCCAAACAGTCCCTGCTCTGCAATAAAACATGGAGAAAATGCAAGGCTGTTTGAAGACTTCCAAAGCTTTGGAGCTGGTGGACACAACCCTGGGGCAAGCAAAAGCCTGGGACAACTACTGTAGGATGTACCTAGGTGAAAAGTGGTGGGCCCACATGCAGCAGGGGCTCAGCAGAAGCCTACCAGAGAACAAATGTGCACATTCTAGAAACCCTCAGAAACACTTTGGGATGTGGGGACTTGAGAGAACAGATCATTCTTCAGCACATATGGGTGCAAGCCAGGCAAATTGGCCGGACAGCTTATATGTCTTTCTAATTTCCACAGGCTGAAAAGACCTTGGATGCCAGTGTTTTCCCACAACTGTCTGATTTCTACCTTTCCCCCTTTGTTTTGCACATAAAACAAAGATTTCCTCTCTCTAGGCTATTCTCTTCATGACAATAATTTTTTACTATTTGTTCTCTTCTCCTAACTCCTCTTCTCCATTTCTCAGTACCTGGCTTCAGTTCTTAAAAACCAATGGTTGTTTATGAAATTCTTCTAGCTTGATAGTGCTTGAGTTCTTCATTCAATCTCCTTCTCCATACATGTACCCAGGGTGTCTCTATGCAGTTCAAGTTTTGCTTACCATTTGATTTTATAGTTCACAACTCTTTCCATTCCCCTAAGTATTCAGCAACCCTTTAGACAATGACGTCACTTCATATATTCATATAATGCTACAATGTGTAGTTCCACATCCTCGCTTTACAATTGAGAAAATGAAGTCAAAGAGTTGTACAGTGGAGTGTATGCAGCCAGAACGGGAATTGGGAATCATCCCTAGACCTTTTGATTTTTTCAATAGCAGATATGTTGTAAAGTGGAAATAAACAATTTAAGGCACTCAAATGTTGTCTCAAGATAGTAAATTTAAAAAAGAGAAAAATATTTTAAACTATTAAATAGTATTTTATTAAGAACAGTATTCAAGTGATAATGGTAACTATATGAAAACTAAAATCACTGTATATGCATATATGTCTTGATATGTATACATATACACACATACATTATACTCTGTACACACATGTATACACATACATTTTAAAAATTGCATTTCTACAATAACCCTAGTCTACATGGATTAATTTCCATTTTTCTTACTAGAACACGCTGGTTCTTACATGAAGGAAGTATCTGTTTTTACACATAAATAAAATGAAATTCCTCAGAGGGATTGGGACATGGTATTTATCAGGCTCAAAGCCAATGCTGATTACAGTATTGCCTTAATCATCTCCAACAATGGTTTTTAGCAACATTATAAAAGGCATGGTATTTTCAGTACATTTCCTCTTACTGTCTCTTATATTCTGGGAACCAATTCAAAGAAAACCCATTCAAATAAAAAATATGATCCACATGAAGGATTACTGAAAATGAAAAAAGAATAAAAAGTGGGTCATACTGGATGCCAACTCTGACTGGTTGCTTCATCATTACTAAGGGGTAGACACCAAAGAAAAACCAAATGAAAAAAAAAAGTTAAAAAGAAGGGAATTCTAAATTTTTCCAATCCAGTTTATAGGTATAGAGAAAAATCAGAGTTGGCTTTATCAGAGGAATGAAGAAGTACCAAGGAACTGTGCTTGTTGCAGTTTGACTTCACTATTTTATTCCTGTCTGTGCTCATATGGAATCCACATTTTGGCCTCTGTAAAGAAAATAATCAAATCCATGTTAATTTCCAGAGACTATTGGCTCAACCTTAACTGAAAGAAAAAGATATCAATCGTAGTGGCCAGTTACTACAAAGGGTCAACCCATTAGAATTGGCCGTTTCCACTACAAATTCTAATATTATCCATAATCTTGGATTAATCTTGACCAGGCATTCAATGTTGTTGTTCTTTCTACAGCACACAGAATGGCTAATATTGTCCTAAACTTCTCTGCTCATAGATAAATAAACAATACAAATATAGAAAACAACGTGTAATGTTACTTAAGAATAAAGTTAATAACTGCAATGATACACTGACCACTTTAAAATGTAAAGTCTATAAAGTGCCTGGTCGTTTTTTTGTTTTTTGTTTTCCTTTAATTTGAAAGGACTTTGGAGTCCCAATATAAGGAAGTTAACTGTACAAAAAAAATCCACTTATGAGTTGACTTTTCAGGCTATAAAAAAGCTCACAAAATATCTTGACAGCTTTAAATACTACTCATTTCTTTTGGTAGATTTAGCTACTACGCATGTTGGAGATACTTAGAAAATTTCTTTATAAGAGAAAATATTTCTTTCTGAATGTTTGACTCTCTAGCTTTCACTGAATATTTACATTGCAAGCCAAAATGTCAGTTTAAAATTTCCAGGAACACAAATCAAAGTTCAAGGTATTTAGTAGCCTACAGAATGTCTGATCTCCAGATACACCTCATTAAGTCACCTGTAATTGCTTAACAAGATCTGTACTCACTGGGGCTGGGGTTGTGGCTCAGTGGTAGAGGGCTCGCCTAGCATGTGTGGGGCCCTGGGTTCAATCCTCAGCACCACATATAAATAAATAAAATAAAGGTATTGTGTCCAACTACAAAAAAAAAAAAAAAAAAGATCTGCACTCACTAGAGTACATTGTTTGCTTGAACCCCAACCCCACTTCAACTTCCTAATCCATCCTTCCAGATCTGACTCTTTTCTCTTCTAGCTGTGACTTCTACTTGTCTTCATAAACATTGTTTTAACTACTGCCTACATCAAATAGAAAACTGACACTTTGTAGATGAGCTAAAATTCACCCAGCCCCTTCCCCAGTAGGTTGGTATAAAAAGTTATTCTGGCCTCTTGCTATTTCTTTCTTTAATAAGGTATGGAGTGGTGGTAGGGGCATGGGAAAAATGGAAGAACTCTGAATGCTATTTCTTTTGTTACTCCGGTTTACCTGAATGGGAGGTGAAAGGTAAACTCAGTGATTTGCCTTTTCCAAGTTTTACATCTCATAAAGTACATTTGTGATCAAATTTTTTGAGGACAGAATGGATGAAGAGCTGACTTTTCAGCAACAACCTGGCCACTTTGCCGCGGACACGTTTATCAGTGACACCAGGAAGCAATACCTTGGAGCAGCCATTGCTGGAGATTCCCAGCAAAGGTTGGCAGGTGGACCGATCACGTGGCACCGGGCCCCTAGAGGGTCTGCGCACGCGTACTCCCTCCGCCCCGCCCGCACCCAAGTGTTCGCGCAGGCGCACGAGGTCAGCGCCAGTGCCGTTGGATACCCTAGCCACCAGAGGCGCCTGAGGACCGGCTCAGGGCTGGACTCCGGGCTACCTCTTGATGGCCACGCAGCGGCATCTGGGGACCTGGCGCTGAGGCCGCCCTCGGCCGGGATCTGCCTCTTCAGCGGACCCGGGCGCTGGAGTGAGGCCCCGGACCAGGGTGACGGCCCAGGCGGGGGAAACCTTATCCTGGGCCTGGACCGGAGAGGGGGAAACTCGATCTTTGGGACTTTGAACAAGTAAAATGCGAGGTAATGATGTCGCTTGCTTTGCTTTCCCAAAGTGTCGGTAGCCATAACGGGACCAGGCGTCTGAGGCCCGCGCCCCACTAGGCCTCCCCGCTGCAGGTTGGGCCTCGTCGCCCCTTGTTTGTCACTTCCTCCAGCTACGGTCTCTGCGTCCTAGCCCAGGACATGCAGAAATGAATTCCTTGGCTTCTGGGAGTTCTTGCTGACTTAGGAGCCAGCCCTGAAAATCAAAAGTAGGAATTATGGGCAAAATATTAGGAAAACAAGAATATCTGACAGACCTGTCAGTCACCGCAGGCTTCCCAAAGATTCCTGCTGCAGCCCTTAGACGGAAACCAGGTAGTGGCCCCCCGGGAGGTAAAGGTGAGCTGGCTGGTGAAGGGTTTTTGAAAATTTTGGACATAAGTGGTGTTTCCGCACCCTGCCACCCTCTATTTATTTATTTATTTGGGTTTTTTCCTAAAGACAGTGAGGGTTTGCATCTCTACCGAAGATGTGAAGATGCTAGAAGTGGATTCTAGTACAAGCTCTGTACTAGACGAGAATTGTAGAATTTCTGTATAAAGCAATCCTGGAGTAAGAGATTAGGGTTTGGAATATGGACTAGCAGACTTGTTCTTTGTCTCCTTTTGGGTTCATGATGGAACCATCAGATAATAAAGACAAATAAATGATTATTTCCATTTACATAAACATGATACATAAGTGGATTGTAGAGTAGCCAAATGTAGAATTTCTTTTAGAAAGAATTCCAATCAATTGTTCCATGAATGTTGGAATATTTCTTTCTTCCATCAAATAAGCTGAGGATTTTAAATACAAACACACATACACACATTCTTTTTTCTCATTAATATTTATTTGACTATTTCACTTGGGGTGGCTTAAGTAGGTGGGGGTCTGATAGAGATTATAGTGTTGCTAAATATTTTACACCCAGAGTCGCTTCATGTCTCTTCCACTGTTTAGCAGTGAGTGTAAAAAGAATTCCTCTAAATACACAAAAGGATTTATTTTTATTTTCTTCTTATCTGAAAAGTAGCAAATAATGATTTTTCATCATTATTCTACGTGAATTCTATAATTCTGTGAATTTTATTTAATTGTGACACAGAGATTTAACTTGGTTGCCTATACATCCAAAGCCGCTTTTTTTACTTATCTCAAATTGAATGTAGAAAGTTTGCTTCAATTACTAACATATTGTTTTTATCTTTTGTTATCAGTAGCTCTTATAAGCATTAAGAGACATTGAGAAAATAAATTTCAGAAACAAGGATTAATGAAAACAATCAAGCCATCAAATTTTAAGGGTATGGGATCATTTAGTCAAAACTCCCTTCTTTCTGAAAAGATCAAGACTGAAATTTTAAAATCATCAGTCAGGTGTCATGACTCCTATGTGACATACTAGCAGATGCAGAATTTCACTTCTACAAAAGGATACAGTCCTACAAGGGAATGGAATTATTAGCCAAGTTTTTATCTTAATACAAAGATGATCTAAACACTAGGAAGACTAAAGGGGGAAAAAAAGAACAGGAGCTACTGTTAGGATTGCAGAGCAACTTCAGTAAGTTGTGTGATAGAAGAAAAGATTATAAAGAGAGAAGAACTAGATAGGAAGTATGTGTCCACAAAAAAAAGCACAGTTGGCCAATTCAAGTATATGAAGTTATTTTTTAAAATGCAAACATGGCATTATGAATGATATTAAATTGATTATGAATTGCAAATGAATTGTTGAATGCTTTACCGTAAATTCTCTAATACTGTTCCTTAGATGTCCCTTCTATTAGGTCACCTATAGACACTGCTTGCCACTAAAAGGTGATATCTGTAATATACCAGTATTTTTTAGTCACAAAGAGGCTTTTCAGTCATGGAGGCTATCATTCGGAAGAGGTGGATAATCCTGATACCTCTAAGAATTGAAGCATAGAAAGAACAACTGTTGCTTCTAACTTCAGGAAGATGATTAAAACTATAAAAAAGAATCAAACTTATGTATTTTTTTCTGAGGAAATCATGTGTGTGTTTTGTATTGTTTTGTAGAAGTTTGCTAATAAAGCTATCACCAAAGGTTAGAAACAAAATCAAGTAGAAGAAATGCTTATAGTATGGCATGTGGGAACACCTCTACAGCAGATAGTCTTGTGTTAGGGGTAAGTAATATTTCACTTTGACTAAATTCACGGTCGTAAATATTTCAGTTTTGAGAAGAGTATTCTTGGATCTGGAAAGGGATAGCTTTAGTTAAATCAAAGGATAAGAATTTAATATTTAAAAAAATGTTGATTGTCTTCTACAAATGTCGACTAATGTTACATGTCTAAACATTGACTAAACCAACACACACAGTATTAGAGAAACCCAAGGAATAAAGTTTTAAAAAGAGAGAGGGTATGTGTGTGTTTTAACTTTAAGAGAGACTATCATTGATTTTTTAATTATTATACAGTAGGATATGGTAATTTTGTCTTATTAAATTATAAACCTGTGAGGTTAAAAACAGTTTACTCTTAATAAATACTAAAGAATTATGAGGATGATGCACTTTTACATCTAAAAGGAAGAAAACTTTTCCATTGACTGATTCTTCCTCTGAATTTGAATACTGTGTATGCCATTGTTTTAAGTCTTCTATCAGATTGTTAGCAGAGATCTTTAACCTCTCTGGGGTCCTAGACCACTTTGAGATAGAATGAAAGCGTGAGTCTTCTCCCCCAGAACCATGGATATATGGCTGTTTTTGTACTTTTTTTTTTTTTTAAGTTGGAGAGAGGGAGTTTGACCTCCTGGAACCCACTTTTTGGCTCTGAATTAAGAACTTAGTTTTTATTTTCTCAGTTCTGTGGATGAAACCCAGGGCTTCCACACATACTGGACAAGTGCTGTACCACTAAGCTCTATCCCAAGCATTAAAAGCCATTTTTAAATAAGAAAACCTGCCTGTTGGCAGCGTTCTTTATAAGCTTTGACTATGTAGATATTTCCTAGTTTTCTATAGAAAAGCATCCAGTCATATACAAAGAGACATTATTTTTCAAGCCTACTCCTTTTATCCCTGGCAAAGTCGCATGGAATTAGTATTCTTGATACCAGTATGCTTATACAGGCAGTATTCACTGGGTACCCACTCTGTGCTGGGCACCTAGAGACTAATGATGCAATAAGGAAAAAAACAAAGTCCAGGCCCTCAGGAGTTTTGCAATCTTAGTAGGTAATGTTTCTCCTCATTAAGTCCAAAAAACTCTGAAATGATATCATTCTTGTAAATATGATGCAGTTAGAAAGCTTAAATTCTAAACATAAAGAGTAGATAGGATTGTTATCAAAAAGGAGGTATCTAAAAAAAGAAAAATACATTCTCTACTAGCTAAGTGCATTGTGTTCCATAGACTACTTGCTTTACAAAGTACAAAAACTCTTGAAACATTAAATAGCTTCCTATTAAAGTTTATATGAAAAATGAAAATAACACTCCATCATTTTTAAAGATTAATTATAAAAATGTATAGTATATGAATTATCAGCTCACATAAATTTGAAAATAAGTTTTCTGGGATAATTATTATATTTTTACAAGTTAAAGTTGAATAATAATTCTCTCCTGTTCTAACTTGTCATTTATCTAATGGAAGGATCTAATGCAAGAAGATCTGCCTGAGATATGCTTTATGTTATTGTATGGATTATGGTTTACTCTAGCATGCTTGTGAAAAAAATCCATACAGACCAAGTATTCCTTGAAGGAAAAGATAAACCTTTCTAAGATTCAAAAGAACAACAAAATGTCAAATATATGGCTTCCTGCATCCAAGTAGATTAGGAACCACATTTTCCTACATACTGTCATTTTCCTACATACTTTCCTTATACCATAACTTGACAGGTGGTATAATTGAATTGTTAACTTTCTTATGGGAGAAGTGGTCAGAGCTACTATTTTTAAACAATCTTTTGGTCTAGTATGGCTGATTCCTAATTGAGAAACCTCAGTCCTTCCTGATCAGGGCCTTCTTTCTGTACTAACCAATTCAGGAAATACATGGGTAGGTGTATTGCTGTTTTACCATCATCTTTTGTAAAGGTGTTGAATATTTCTTATAGTTAAAATTCATTGGAATTGTGTGTTAAATTACATTGTTTCAGTACTAACAACATTCTCTTTTTACAGGCTATCCAGATTATGATTGGCATTTTTCATATTTTCATGTGGTATTTCCTATTGGTTTTGTATATGGGACAAATTAAAGGAGTCTTTGGGACATATGAACCTATAACTTACAAAACAGGATGTGCTTTTTGGGGAATTTTTGTGAGTACAATACATTTATATTGATTTCATTATAATATTCATTTCAGTACTAGAAGATAGAAAAATAATGATAAAAATATTTAATTTTCATATAAAATCCAGATAATGATGCATGGTTGATAAGTGATGTACTGACTCATTAATGAATGATGCACTACTTATATATACCAAAGCATTGCCTTGGAAAAAGAATAAGAGAAAAATAATGAATTTTCAAATTAAATTTTCAAATTAAAAAGCTTCTGCATAGCAAAGAAAACTAGGGCATATGGAGGGAGCCTGCAAAATGGGAGAATATCTTTGCCAGCTACTCTCTGACAGGGGGTTAATATCTATAATATATGAAGCATTCTAAAAGCTTCACATGCACACATACATACAATTAATAAATGGGCAAATTAACAAAGCAGACATTTTTCAAAATAAGTACAGATGACCAACTAATAATGTAAAAATATGTTCAACATCCTTAGCAATTAGGGAAATGCAAATTAAAACTACATTAAGATTTTATCATACTCTAGTCAGAAATGGCAGTTATCAAGAATACAAATAGTAAATGTTGGTGAGAATGTGTGGAAAATGGTACACTCATTCTTTTTTGGTGGGACTGCAAATTAATCCAACCGCTTTGGCAGAGCTTGTGGAGGGAGATTCCTCAAAAGACTAGAAATGGAACCACCATATGATCCAGCTATCCCACTATTTGATATTTATCCAAAAGAATGAAAATAAGCATACTGTAGTGAAAAAGCCACATCAGTGTTTATAACAGTGCAATTGAAATTCACAATAGCCAGGCTAGGAACCAGCCTAGGTGCCCATCAACACACGAATGGATCAAGAAAAGGTAATAAAACACATACAAGGGAGTTTTACTCAACCATAAAGAAGAATGAAATTATGGCATTTGCTGGTAAATGGATGGAAATATAGAACCACTTCTAAGTGAAAATAAACCAGACACAGAAAGTCAAGGGTGTAATGTTTTCTCTCATCTGAGGAAGCTAGGATAAAATAAGGGAAAAAGGTAATGTGAGAGGGAATCCCATGAAAATAAAAGGGAAATCATTAGAGTAGAGGAAGGAAATTCAGGAAAGGCAGGAAGAGGAAGGAGACTCCAAGTACATTTCACCTTTATGTCTATCTATAAAGTACCAATTTAAAAAACAAATAAATAGAAGATCAGTAGAGTAAAGGAAGGGCAAAAGATAGAGAGAGGAGGATAAGGAAAGAGAAAGTACTGGGAACTGAAATGGAGCAAATTAAGTTCCATGCATATGTGATTATGTGAGAGGGACATATTGCCTAAAAAAACCTTTTAAAAATAGCATATTAAACAATACATTTTCTAGAATTTCAATTAAATGTAATTCAGTAAAAAAAATTTTCAGGTTGCAAATTTTGAAAGGCATTTTATTAAGCAGATGACTTAATAATCTAGTTGGAGAGCACTCTCATTTAAAATTCACAAGATATTTTCACTTTGATATCATGTTAGTTTTTCTCTTCACCATCTACCTCCTTAGAAATCTCAGCTTTTGTTACAGAAGCAAGTGTAGAATGTGTGATTTAAATTTACTCTTGTGGAATTTATAAGTTTCAAATTTTGGCCTTCTTAAATAAAGGGTGTTGCATGAATGCTGTTTTTTTTTCCTAAAATTAGCCTTTGCTAATAAAACCACTAAAACAGATAAGGCAAGGAATATTTCAGGGGGTTGTACAGATCACTTTCGAACAATATGGTATTGTTTTCCTATTCTTGGAAATAAATATTCTCTCATGAAATAATGGGATCTCTTTTTGAAAAGTCAAACAAAAGCATTAATAGCAGCTCTTACCCTAATAATTACTATAAGAGTTGTATTTTGTAAATGACAGTGTGAGATCAACTCACAAGCCATGTTTTCCATATCTGGACATTACTCAGCCAATGCATCATCTCATTAGAAGCAACAGCACTAGAAGAAATAACTGAGTTATGTGTGAAATATTTTATGCACATATAATCAGACTTGATCCCAGATTCATAACTGCCACAGTCCACATTCTGTCCACACTCCTTTATATATTTCTATTACTGGTAACCCTGTGGTTATTTTTTATAACCTTTGGATAGCATCATTACTTCATGATGGATACTTATCATGACCCCTTTAAGTTATTTTTTTTATTACTGTTTAGTATTCTAAAAATACTTGACTTAGAAATTTTTAAAAATACATTTTAAGTTGGCAATCATTATCAATAAATACTTATGTTTTTATGTTCAGTATATTGTATCAGGAGCTTCCACAATAAGATCAACACAGAAATCGAGTCAATACCTGGTAAGTTGAAATGTTGGGATATCGCTAGAATTGACTATCACTATGCTTAACAATAGGTCTTAATGAAAAGATGATTCAGAATAATGAAGTAGTCTACACACCCTATAAAACAAATTAAGAAATTAAATGAAAACCTAGGATCACATAAGTTAATGGAGACAAATATGTTGCAGTAGTTAAAGTCATGATTACCTTATGTAAAAGCTTATAAATTATAGTTTTAGGGTTTTTTGTTTGGTATTCTACCTTTTAACATGATATGAATATCATGATTAGAAAGCATTTAATAAAACCTAATGCCTTTATATATACATATTATACTGCTCTAAAATCTTATTTTCTGAAAGTCAGATTGTAAACAGGATTGTATCAAAGTTGGGCATTTGTCCAGGAAAAAGATCTATCTGTGATATAGGATAAATAAATTTGATATCTGTTTAAAGTTATTGGTAAATATTCCCAGATGATTAAAACCTATGATTAAAACTTAACTCCATTTGATTGTATTTCCACAAACAGTTTTCATTTTCCATTACTTTTTTTTCTTCTCCTTTTTAAATTTTCCTTTCAGTGGAAACCCTTTGGTTCAAATCATGTTTTACAATCTTCTTACAACTGATTCACAAGATTGTAAAATACAATATTTTTGGTCCCCAATGGAATTGAAAGATTAATGCTTTTTATTTTTATTTTTTTTAAAGAGAGAGAGAGAGAGAATTTTAATATTTATTTTTTAGTTCTCGGCGGACACCACATCTTTGTTTGTATATGGTATTGAGAATTGAACCCGGGCCACACACATGCCAGGCGAGCATGCTACCACTTGAGCCACATCCCCAGCCTAGATTAATGCTTTTTAGTTTGTTGATAATTTAATGTTTTGTCTACATTAACTGGGTTTTGAGTAAACCAGAAATATATTTTGCATGAGCAGCAAGTGTACAAATACTTCTAAAGCCTCACAAACTAGATCAAAGTTTTTAATTAGATGACTTTGTTTTAGCAAGACAAACTGTTTAACCAAAGTATTTATTCTGAATATAATAAATTTACCTTATGTCTCCTTTTCAGACGATATGGGCTTTGATCATGAACATCTTCTCTGTAATTACTGCATTTATTGCACTGTGTCTAACAGTATTTGAGTTGTCTACTTTTCATAGTGTGTCATATAGGAATTATGGACAAGCGGTAAGTGGCCTGTTGTATAGGAAAACCCTAATTTAAAAATTATTATTTTCAGTGATTTTGAAGACTTAGGATATAAAACGAGGCTTGTATTGTTCCTTTATATGGCCGTGAGGTCTTGATTGAAAGAGCTTAATTTTAAAAAATGATTCTTAGGTAATATTTTTAGTGCATATTAACAAGCCATTTGAATTCTTGATTTTCCCAATTAAAATAAAGCAAGTAAAAAATATAAAGACTTCAGTGATAAGTGTCTTGGCATTAGGCACAAGGTCTCTGATGATTCTTTTCATGTAAGAAAAGTATAATCCTGGACCATAAAACCATTCCCAAAATCAACAAAAGACTTCTGCTTATGTATGCATAGTACAAATTTTAAATGCCTAGTGATTTCTCATTACACAGAACTTTTCATAGCAACCTATCTTTGCATCTTATATGAAATTTGATTATATGAAATCACTATATTTCTTCCTAAAATATTAACTACATTTATTCCAGCTGTTCTGGCTTTAAATTTCAAATCACAAAATTAGTGCTGCAAAAGACTTTAGCAATGCTTATAAAAAAAATCTCCCATTTAAAATGAGGAAAGGTTGCAGGAAGGGCTGGCCAACAGAACAAAAGAAATAACAATTAAAATAATGACTATAAGAGTTACTGTAGGAGAGGGATATGACTTTCTCTCCTTCCCTATACACTTCCTCTCTTTACCTGTAATATAGTATGTAGGGGATCATCAGTGGAAATAATTCAGAGAATAGAAAACAAGACTGTATGGCCAGGTCCAGTGACGCGTGCCTGGAATCCCAGTGGCTCAGGAGGCTGATGCGGGAAGGTCGTGATTTCAAAGCCAGCCTCATCAAAAGCAAGGTGCTGAGCAACTCAGTGAGACCCTGTCTCTAAATAAAATACAAAATAGGGCTGTAGATGTGGCTCAGTGGTCAAGTGCTCCTGAGTACAGTCCTCAGTACCCCTCTTCAAAGAGAAGAAAGAAGAAAGAAAGCAAGACCGTAGAATAATAAGAAAATAATTGAAAGTACAGTAATACCCCAAAATAGATGGTGTGTAATAAATGACTTAAATAAACATGCCCAGATTTTCCCTATAAATTCTAAGAAAAATCTCCAATATCTGGTGATTCAATATATAGATAACTTCAATTGTGATTTTGTTTGCAGAGAATAAGAAGGGTGTACTTAAGTACATTCTTATTCCTAAATTTATAAACATCAGTTTAAGATAATATTGCATAATTGTCAAGACCTTCTATATTAGTCTGTTTTTTCAAAGCTATAACAAAATAACTGAGACTATATACTTACAAGAAAGAAAGGCTGAAAGTCCCAAGATAGATAGCCCTGTGTGACCTCTAGTAAGGGCCTAATGGCAGATAATATCAAGGGAGAAAGTACCTGACAGGGTCTACAGGTAAGACATGAAAATAAAGATTGGGAAAGGCTCAGTCTTGCTCCTTTATAACAACACTTTCACAAGATTTAGCTAGAGTCTCATGAAAACTACATTAATTCCTTTTAAGAACAGCACCTCCAGTGACCTAACAATCCCTCCTCCCATGTCCATTTCTGAAAGTTCCCTGCCACTTCTTACAATTACCAAATGAGAACCAAGTTTCCATCACATGAACCCTTGAGGGGCACACTGAAACCTTGTCCAATCACAGCATCTGTCTTTTGCAATAAATATTAAGAACCACTGTTGACTGTACTTATCTGAACTCAGTACTAATGATTTTCCCCAAAACCACAAGTTTTATCTTTGTTTTCTGTGATTAGTTATACAAAATGAACTTGTACATTAGACATAGATTTCTTACCCACTGGCTTTTCCCGGTGTCATTGTTGAGTTATGTCTACATTTATTAAGATAGCCAACATTTTACAATATTTTCACATGCCCCTTTTATAGCATAAGAAAGGTGTTTGGCTACATAAGAAAGTCATCCAAGTAATCAGTGTTCCCAGGAACACTGTCATCTGTCCCCCAAAGTGCATACCTCTGAAATATGTCTCCCATATAACAACATGGATAATGGTGCAGACTCCAGAACCAGATTGCATTGTTCAAATACTATCCTTATACCTGCTAGCTATGTGTATGCTTTGATGAAGTTTAGCTTCCTGTTCCTTAGTATCCTTATGTGTAAACAGGAAAATGTTCTAATTCATGCCTGTTAGCTAATTGTTTTGTTCTTTCTCTCAAACTCCAAGCCTATTAATCTGGTGGCTAGCTTGACTTTTTTACTTGGCTATACTTCTGTCATCATCTCAAACTCAAAAGATAAAAAATAGAAATTGCTTACTTACTCGAAAGTACAGTACTGTAAGACCCCCTTGTTGAAATTGTCTAGACCCAAAATCTTAACCTTGGCTGCTCTCTTTCTACTGGCTTTCCAAATTACCAAATATCATTTATTCTTTATTTAACATTTTAAAATTAGATTTCTCTTAGGTTTAAGTCTAGGAAATATAATGCAAATTGACCTTAGCAAAAAAGAGCCCTTGCTGATTTAAGCCTGGTTCATAAGCATAGGTTATATTTCAAGAACTCATATTCTCTCTCTTACTTTGCTATTTGAGCTGCTCCATCAGACATCTTGCCGCTTTAAGGGAAGAGATTGACAACAACACCAACTTACAAATAAAGGGATGTAGGCAGAGTGATTTTTTAACAGTCTTGCCAGTGAAGAGGCCACAAATAATTTCCACCTGAAATTTTATGATTTTGTATTGCTGCCAACAAACATAAATTAGAATTAAATCCTTCAATCTTCCTAATCTTCCTGTTGATGTCATACATGATCAAACACCGTTTCATTTAAAACTTCTTTATCATTCCTCAAACATGTTAGTTTCTTGTGTTGTTTGCTTGTGTAAATACACTAGGTCATTGTGATACAACTCTATTATTCATTTTATTTTATTTCTCTGTTAATTATTTTGTCACACTTTTAACTTATTTGGGGGAGGCTATTTCTCTTTTTTCCCACTTTTTTTAAATTGGTGCATTATGGTGTACACACTGAAGAAATCTGTTGTTACATATACATACATGCACACAATACACAATATAACAATATAATTTAGCCAGTATCACTCCTCTGCACTCCCCACCCGCATCTCCCACCTCTTGGCCTCTTTCCTCTACTGATTTCCCTTAGATTTTCATGAGATCCACCACATCTTTCTTTTCTTTTCTCTTCCATAGATTCCTCATGAGAGAAAACATGATGACCCTTAGTCTTCTGAGTTTGACTTATTTTGCTTAACATAATTGTGTCTATTTCCATCCATTTTTCTACAGATGCCATAATTTCATTTTTCTTTCTGACTAACACTCCATTATGTATAAATGCCAACGTTTTCTTTATCCATTCATCTGTTGATGAACACCTAGGCTGGTTCCATGGTTTGACTATTATGAATTGTGCTGCTAAACATGGATATGCATGTATCACTGTGGTACGATGACACTAATTCTTCAGAATGAATACTGAAGAGTAGTAGAAGAACTGGGTCATATGGTGGCTCCATACCTAGTCTTTTGAGGAGGTTCCATACTGATTTCCATATTGGTTGTACTAATTTACAGTCTCACCAACAGTGTAAAAGTGTTCCTTTTCCCCATATCCTCTTCAGCATTTATTATTATCTGTATTCTCGATGACTACCATTCTGAGCGGTGTAAAATGAAATCTCAGTGTAGTTTTGACTTACATTTCCCTAATTGCTATGATATTGAACTTTTTCATATACTTGTTGGCTATTTGTATTTTTTCTTTTGAGAAGTGTTTGTTTAAATCATTAGCCCATTTATTAATTGGGTTATTTGATTTTTTTGGTGTAAATCCTTTCTGAAAAAAGACAGGTTGCAATGAAACAAGTAAATAAAAATTGAAGCTGCCTAAAATTCTGCTTTCTCCTTCCTTTTTTTCTCAGCACTACCCTTATTTCAAAGATCCTATATCTTTATGAATCCTTTCTAGATACTAGTGGCTTTGAGTGAACCTCCTACTGCCTATAATTATTAAGCATATTTTTATCCATTTTGACATATTAACCTTACCATATGTGACTTATTCTCCGTCTTTTCTACTTGATTATAAACTCTGAGAAAGCAGAAAGTTTTTATTTGTCACTGTATTCTCATTATTTAATCCCTAACACTTAACATTTTTTCACATATAAAAGATATTAAATAGAACCAACAAAGAAAAAGGAGAAAGAAGAAAAGGAGGAGGAGAAGAAGAAATTGAAGGGAAAGTGAATTATGTTGTTATTTCTTTTAGATTTGAATATCCTTATTTTCATAGCCAGCACAAAGACTGCTTATTCAGGAAGAGCTCTGTTATGATTTGCATAGCTCACCCATAATGTGTGTAGTTGAAAATATTTCCAGTAACATCAGAAGAGATTTGTTTTATTTATCCTGGAAGTCACAATCACTTGTGTTTTCAAGTAAAATGTTTGTTGAATTCTTCTTTAATTTGCTCATTATTCTATGCTATTACAGCAAGTATCTCTGAGAAATTTTTATCACCACAAATGTAAGTTTAAGTAAATTTGTAGTTACTAATAGCTGTCTTAATAAACAAAAATAGCTTGTTAAAAAACCTCTGGGTTGCCATCTAATCCTTAGAAATAGAAGGGCCAAATCTTATTAACTGGAGACCTTACATAGCAAGTTGTGCCAGGGACTCTGTAGTGAAGACATAAACATTAATTAAAAAGTTACAAGAAGTGTAACAAGAATGCTAAGTGATGAAGATCAAGGACGAAAGCCACATACAATGAATTGGGAAGAAGTGTAGCATGAAAAATTAAGAAGAAAGCAAAATAATAAAAATGTCTAGGGAAATCACATTGGGAAAAGGTCCATTTATTGTTTTCCTTCTTTTCCTTGGTTCTTATACTACAAGCTCCTTCCATGAGCTTGTTTGTGCTTACTAAAAATAATAATGTAAGATTTCTCCCTATTTCCTGATTACAGAAACTAGGGAGGGAAGTTTCACGTATTTTATTGGCCTCGTACCTCTTGGAAATTGGTATTGCACTTGCACATTCAATCTGCTGCTGTGCACGGTTGGTAAGTGTTTACTCAGGCAAATCAAGAGATGTTAAGTTTCTAGAAAGCATACTCTGTAAGGTGATAAAGCACACTATCCAGTGTTTAGAATTAATAAAATGGAATATATTATTTACTTTTCCCCCTTCATTTAATAAATAGAAAACATAAAATGACAAAAGCAATACATGAAACTACATATCAAAAAGTATAGAGTAATTTTTTTACTTAATATAATCTGCATTATATCCACACATCCAAATCTACATAAAAAAATTTTTTACTAATTGTATGATCATTTTCTCATTATCTTGTTACATGTCTTTTTTTGCAACTATCATAAGCATCTTTTCATTAAAAAAAACACATCTAAAGAAAGCCTTCTTATAACTTATTTTTTATATATTTTGCATTCCCTTATTTACTGTATATTTAACTTTGTTCCCAGTTTTCTTAAATTATAAACAATGATTCAATGAATATTTCAATACAAATATTTTTGCAAACAAGAGACTATTTCTGGAAGTGGTAGATTCCTTAAAATGTGGGTGTAGGGTCAAGTTTAATATTCCAAAATGCTGAAATAATTCATAATACCATAGAAATACATGAGAATGTCTGTTTTCTCACAAGCTTAAAATAACTAGATACCTAATATTTATTCATGGTTTTTGCAAATATTCATGAAGAATCTACTATTTGCTAGGCTTTTTAATAGGCACTAAGGATGACTAACAAGACACTGTCTCTGTCATCAGGGAATTTGCATTTAAGTGGAGAAGAAAGATATTTATATATAAAATGGTCATATATGTGCATATATACTATATATAATCATGATAGTAAAATGTTATGAAGTAAAGGCAGAATAAGGAGATAAGGCAAAGGTATTTTACATACCATGGTCAGGTAAGACCTAGGGACTGACTGAAGTACACAAACTGAGACCAGAAAAAGGTTTTGGGCCGTGTGTGTGCGTGCACACGTGTGCACATGTGTGTTGATATGTGTCCACATTTATAGAGATAAAAGAAAAAGAGGACTAACATTTTTGAGAGGAAAATGTTAAGGAATAATATAATTAATGTAAAACCATATGTATATAATCCACGTAGATATGTTTAATTGGTGTGTATTATATAGAACAGTGGGTTTCATCGTGGCATATCCATACATATATGTGACATAATTTGGTCAGTTTCACTCCTCAGTATGTCCCCTTGCCCTCTTCTCCCCAGGATCCTCTTTCTCTATTCTAATGGCCTCCCTACTTTCAAGAGATCTAGTTTTTAAAAAATACAGAATGAATAGGACTTACAGAATGACTAAGTAAGCACATAGCAAATATTCCTAAAAATATTCTGGAAGTTGATCAATGTATACAACAAATTATGAAGTGTTTGTGAATATATACTGGATCTAAATAAAAACTCATTGTCTCTGATATGTTAGCTTGGGGCTCACTTTGATTCCTTCAACCTCCTTGGTTTTGTTATGCAGAAATTTACCTTGATGATTTCACACTGTGAGGACCAACAGTTTGCTGCTTGAGAGTTAATTTTATTTGAGGCACAACACAGAAATTTCCATGACTAGCGTAATTAAACCAATAGAGATAACAGTCATTCCTAGATTGACTGAGATTACAATATTGTTGGTCAATAAATTGACTAGCAACCAGCCAGAAACTCAACACAGAGATTCAGAGAACAAGACAGCCAACATGGGATATTTACCTTGATAACATTATGTTTATCCTTTATGATCTGGAAGAATACAAATATGTGCAGGAAACTGGAAAGAGCTCTAATGAGCTACTCACCTCTAGCTAAAAAAAAAAAAGAAGCCATGCAAAGTAAAGTAAAAGCTGAGATAGACTTATAAGTAGCCTAAACTTTGGAAATATTCTTCAATTCAGAACGAAACAGAAGATCAGAGGACCCGTCGTAGCAGCTCCCTGCAACTGAACAAAAAAACCAGGTCTGCAAGGGCAAGTAAAGGTAGGAAGGCTATAGAATAACATTTACCCCTTATGGTCTGGAAGAATATAAGTATGTGCAAGGGTATGCACACTATGGAAACTGGAGAGAGCTCTAGTGAGCTACTCACCTCTAGCTTAAAAAAAAAAGCCATGCAAAGTAAAGTAAAAGCTGCAATAGAGTTATAAGAGGCCTAAACTTTGGAAATATTCTTCAATTCAGAACAAACAGAGGATCTGAGGAAACCACATTCTCGTAGCAGCTTCCTGAGTCTGAGCAAAAAATCCAGTTCTACAAGGGCAAGTCAAGGTAGGAAGGCTATAGAATAACATCTAACCCTTATGGTCTGGAAGAATATAAATATGTGCCTGGATATGCACACTATAGAAACTGGAGAAAGCTCTAGTGAGTTACCTCTAGCTAAAAACAGAAGCCATGCAAAGTAAAGTACAAGCTGCAGTAGACTTATAAGAGGCCTAAACTTTGGAAATATTCTTCAATTCAGAACAAACAGAGGGTCTGAGGAAAACACATTCTCATAGCAGCTCCCTGAAACTGAACAAATAAACTAGTTCTACAAGGGCAAGTCAAGGTAGGAAGACTATAGAATAACATCTCTTATGGTCTGGAAGAAAATAAATATGTGCAAGGGTATACACACAAAGGAAATGGAGAAAGCTCTAGTGAGCCACTCACCTCTAGCTAAAAAAGAAGCCATGCCAAGTAAAGTAAAAGCTGAGATAGACAATTAAGTAGCCTAAGCTTTGGAAATACTTTTTGATTCAGAACAAAATGAGGATCAGAGGACACTAAAAACTCATAAGAGTTCCCGGAAAGTGATCTAAAAACCAGTTCTGCAATGGTAAATTAAGATAGAAAGACTGGGGAAACACTGGTAGACAATACAAAGCAACCAGATGAAAAACTGAAGTACTGGTTTCTAGACTATAAAAAGTTAATAAAAGGAGGCAGTACTGGTGGGCATGGTGGCTTGGTGGTGGAGGGAGCTCCCCTCCTAAGCTGAAGGACGTTCTCCCATCAGTTTTAGAGAGGCTGAGCTGGCATGGGAGAACCCTCAGCACTCTGCAGAACAAAGTTAGTGAAAACAGGGAAGTGGCAACAACTTTGGAGCCAGAGACTGGAAATCCCTGTAGTTTACCTTTATTTTCCATATTTCTCTATTTTTCCCTTTATTGCCTTGTTCTAGGCATACTTTCTTTATGAATATTCAAGACTAATCAGTCACTTAAGATTTATTTTTCACTGGATCATTGGGTACCCATGCACCGTGCTGTGAGTCAGTCTGGGCACAGGAAGGAGACTAATATCTGGGAGAAACAGTGATTGAAGGAGCCATGACTGCTTTTCTAGGGCACTTTAATTTGAAATTGACCCTCTGAACTCTGGATAATGAACATGGCTGACAAGGTGGAACTGGGACTGATCATGGTTAGGTAAAAAGCAGCAATTCCATGACATCCTATTTTGGACCCTGCACCACCTCCCCCATGTCCAGAACGATATAGAGAATAAACTGGTACATTCCACAACTGCCTACACCCCCATCCACCCACCCTCTTCCCACAGACTGATGTTCTCAGACAAAAGGGTACAAAACAATACAGATTGGTCTACAGGTACATGGTTGAAAGGGTTAGCCAACAGAGCTGACAGATTTACATTCCCTTCCCTGGTCACAATAGCAACCATTTTGCGAATGAGATCTGCTCTGAATCTTATGGTACTTCACTAATCGAAGCTATAGGCAAGGAGGGAGTAGACTTGAGTACGTAATACTCCTCTTAACAGGTTTAGCCATTTTGACTCAGAGCTGACAAAAACAGAACAATAAGTCTATCAACCTTCCTCATAGCTGGGAGAGTCTAAATTCAAAACTCTGAAAAGTCAGGTCTCCAACTTTAAAATCTCAACAAAAAGAAAAACAAATTCTTTGTCAATTAATTGGGTCCTCTCTCAATACTTCTTTATTTTGCTCTTATCTCATTCTCTTCTCTCCTTCATCCTTTATTTATCTTTTGTTGCCCCAACATACTTTTCTCTTTTTTCTTTTTTCTATTTTTTATTCTTTCTTCCACTTCAATTTAGTACACTATCATTAATGCTTAATATTTCCAGAACATTCTATATTATTTCTAACTCTTCTCTTTGGTCAATACATTGTAGAGGTCATTTAAAATAACATAGGATATGTTGATATAAAGTTTACTTTTAAATTTCCTCTGTTACTAGCAGTTATTCTCTCAAAGTTGTACTGGTAGTTGAACTTAACACTTTGATTATGTTGAAGCTAAGATATCCCCAGCCCAGGGATGATTATGAGATAACTACTCACTAAAGGACCCCCACACAAAAGGAGAAGAGGAATTCAACTCAATGGATGTACAAACATCTGATCTCAGAAAACATAGTCACCTCTGATAGTTTATAACCTTCCAATAATTAAATCAAAAGATACTGAAGTAGATGAAATTCTGAAGACATTTTTTAAAAAATATTGAAATGATCAAGGAACTATAAGAAAATCTTAAGTAATAAACTAAGGAAATACAGAATATACAGTATGTGAAAGAGCATTTCAATAAAAATATAAAGAAACCGAAAAAGAAACAGAAATCCTGGAACTATGAGACTAAAAATCAAATGAAAAATTTAGTTGAAACTCTCATTAACGGATTAGATCATGTGTAAGACAGAATTTCAGACCTTGAAGACAAAATATGTTAACTTGAACACTCAGAAAGAAAAAAAAATCATGATCAGAATATATAACAACTCTGGGACAACATTAAGAGACTAAACATAAGAATCATTGGATTTAAGGAAGGAATGTAGATATAGACAAATAATAATTAAAACATTTTCAGTGAAATAATAGAAAAAAATTCTAAACATTGGGAATTAGATGGGGATCCACATACAGAGCATTTAAAACCTCACACAGAAAAGATTTAAAAAGAAGGTCTCCATGATACATTATTCTTAAAATACCAAATATATAGGATAATGATAGAATTTTAAAGGGCTCAAAAGAAACACATCAGATTATATACAGAAGTAATCCAATCAAAACAACATCTGATACCTCAACAAAAGCCCTAAAAATCAGGAGGGCTTGGAACAATGTGTTTCAAACCCTGAAAGAAAATTCCTTTAAACCAAAAGTGCCATATCATGCACAACTACCTTCAGAATCAAAAGAGAATGAAAACCTTACAAGATAAGCATAAAGAATCCATGACTACTAAGCCATCATTATGGAAAATACATAAAGAAACCCTGACAGAGAAAGTTAAAATCAAATACCAGAGCTCAGGAAAGGGTGAATCTCACTGGAAGAGTAGTTAATTAAATGAGTAATAGGTTCAAATTAAACATATTTATAATAACACTGAATGTAAATAGTCTTAATTCTCCAGCCAAATAACAGACTGGCATATTGGGTTTTTAAAAACAAGGTCAAATTGTATGTTGTTGGGAAAAGACATACCTCTCTCAAGCAAAGACATCCACAGCTGAATGAAAATTTGAAAATTGATATTCCACGCAAATGCAGCCCATAAGCAAGCAGGAGTAGTGACTCTCATATCTAACAAAGACGACTTCAAATTAGAAGGGATAAAGAAGGTCACTTCATACTGGTGAAGGGATTCAAGTCAACAAGATGATATAACAATAGCAAATATGCCGGAAACGAATAAAGTAAATCAAACACTACTTGAGAAAATGGCTCTCATAGACCCCAACAGAATGATACTAGGTTATTTTAAACACTTTTCTTACCAACAGATTGGTCAGCCAGGTATAAGTTCAGTGAAGACACTTCAGAAATTAAAAAAATATATATTACAAATTAAATGTACCCAACACATCTGTAGACTATTTCATCCAACAACAACTGGGTTTACTTTCTTCTCAGCTGCTCATGGAACTTCTCCAAAAAAAGACCACATTTTAGATCACAAGCAAGTCACAAGAAATATAAAAATATCAATATAACTAGGGTCTATTTTGAAAGCTTGTATTCCAATAAATTGGAAAGTCTAGAAGAAATAGACAAATTTCTAGACATGTATAATCTACCAAAATTGAAACAAAAGGGGACAGAAAACCCAGAATGGTGACAATCAGTGAGATTGAAGAAAAAATAAAAAGCCTTTCAACAAATGCCCAGGATTACATGGATTCACATCTGTATTCTACCAGACCTTTAAATAACTATTGCCAATGCTTCTCAAATTACTCCAGGAAATATAACAGGGGATAACACCTAATTCATTATATGAAGCCAGTGAGATCTTGATATCAAAACCAGATAACTACACATTAAAGAAAGAAAAACTACAGGTCCCTAATCCTTAATAAAATACTAGAAAATCATATTCAAAAACACATTGAGAAGATTATACATGACTGAGTTGGTTTCATTCCAGGGATACAAAAATGGTTCAACAAAACAAATCAATAAATTTAGTTCACCACATAATAAAATTAAGCACAAAAGTGGGCTGGGTTGTGGCTCAGCGGTGGAGTGCTTACCTAGCACATGCGAGGCCCTGGGTTTGATCCTCAGCACCACATAAAAATAAATAAAATAAAGGTACTGTGTACAACTAAAAAAATAAATATCTTTTTTAAAAAAGAACAAAAGTCACATGATCATCTCAGTAGATATTTTTTAAAAATCTTTGGCAAAATTCAGCACCCATTCTTGATAAAAACATAAAGAAACTAGGAAGACAAAGATCTTACCTAAACATCTTAAACACTACATGGGAGCCACTATAATACTAAATGGGGGGAAACAAAGCATTTTATCTAAGATAAGCATGTATATATACCTTTACCTCTCCTATTTAAGATGGTATATGAAATTTTAGCCAGATCAGTCAAAGCAAGAGAAGCTTAAAAATGGGGTACCAATAGGAAAGGTAGTTAAATTATCACTGTTTGCAGATTATATGATCCTGCACTTAGAATATTTACATTACTCAATCAGAAAGCTTCTAGATCTGTTGAACAAATCCAGCAGTGTAGCAGGATATATAATCAACATATGAAAATCAATAGCTTTTCTATGTACCAATAGTGAATATGCTGAAAAAGAAACTAGGAATCAATTTCATTCCCAATAGCCTCAAAAAATAAAGTATCTAGGAATAAATCTAACCAAGGAGATGGAAACCCTCTACAATGAGAATTATAGAATATTAATGAAAGAAACTGGGGAAGACACAGAAGATGGAAAGATCTCAAAATTCTTTTTAGGCAGAATTAATAGTTAAAATGGC